TCACCGGTACCTGTGAGACTCGAGTCAAGGACTGAACAAACTGCAAACTTCAGACACTATCCCTTACACGGCTAACTACCCAATTTAGCGGTTCACTATGAATATGATATAATAAAGGATACAAAAATATCATGTTGAATAAGAAGTTGAACCCAACCGGACCAAAAAACAAAAAGTTGGTTATTAGCCGCCATACCTATGAACACACACACAAAAAATATTTAGAATCACATGCTGCAATATTAACACTATAAAGCAGGGGTGCCCAAACTCGGTCCTGGAGGGCCGGTGTCGTAAAGATTGCCCATAAATGTATGAACATTTTGTAAATTATGTTGAAAGTTTCACATTGGGATGGGAATGCCCATTAAATAAGAGTGCAACAGTCGGGTTCCAGTCAGAATTTAAAACCCCATTCATTTTATCCATAAGAGAATTGATGTTTATAACTTAAGCAAGCTACAAGCAATTGAAGACTGTGAGCTACGAGTTTGTTAATTGATGGTATATGCTTATATTGCAGCCATCTATCCACATTATTTAAACTTTAAGCATATTTAAAGCATCTTTAAATTAAATTATTATTATTTTTTTTTTAAATCCGTAGTTTGCAATTCGATATCATTCGCAGTGCGAATGGGATTGTAGTTCTTTCCCTAGTCGAGTAAGGAAGGACATAAGTACACGGTTTTCTTGTACCTTTGTCTTTTTGTCCAGTTTTATTATACTTTTTTGGTTTGGTTTGGTTTGGTTCGGTTCATGGCTTGGAACTTTTAGATATAGACAGATAGATAGATAGATAGATAGATAGATAGATAGATAGATAGATAGTACTTGGACAGGCAGACAGACAGACAGATAGATAAACAAACAAATACATACACAAATAAATAAACAATCTCTATGGGATAAGTGAATGGGGAAAATATTCCAGAAACAAGGTCGCTGAAAAAGTAGCAGGCACTGTAACACGCTCTATATTGGATGGGGTTATTTTGTAAAAAAGTCCAAAATCGATTTCCAATCTATGGTGTATGAAATGACTAAATTAATGTTTAAAAAAGGCCTCTTACACTAGCTTGCTTTATTCTTTTTCTATTCTATCTGTTTTTTTTATTTATTATATAATAAAAAAAAAAACCTTGCTATGTATACTGCGTTAGGCTAACTGAGACTTGTCACAGCACTTGCATATCATTGCTCTTTTGTTAGTTTTGACTGCTTTTATTGTCCTCATTTGTAAGTCGCTTTGGATAAAAGCGTCTGCTAAATGACTAAATGTAAATGTAGCCTAAAAGTAATCTTCTACGACGTGTTCACTGTTATGCTCCCCATCTCCAGGGGGCGATATTGCGCTTTTAAGCACTCTTGAACTGAGTGAGGCGCGAAGAATGCAATATCACTTTCTGTTGGGTGCAGTGTTGCCAATTTAGCAATTTTGTTGCTAAATTTAGCAACTTTTCAGACTACCCTAGCAACTTTTCTTCCAAAAGCACCTAGCAACAAATTTAGCTATTTTTAAAAATTTATTTGGCAGCTTTTAGCAACTTTTGATAAGTGACTCAAACGATAAAAAGGCACAATTTACCATTTAAATTACACAAAAAGAGGAAACCAAAGATGCCTAGCAGTACACACGTTACAGGAATTAAGTTAGCTGCTATTTGCGATTGTTTAATAGTAATAATAATAATAATTGAATACTGTTATTTTTCATTTATGAGACACTTTGTTAGTAGCTTGTACCTGTGATTGTTGATGAGTTAGTACACTGTAAGAAAAATATGCAGAAAAATGGAAAAGGTGCTAGTAATTTTCCAGGACATTATCCGTTATCCGTTGTAACCCGAAAACACAAAATACAATGCGTAATTAAAAATGCACGTACAAAAACCTGTGGAAAAATCAATCCAGAAAACTCCTTCATATTAACACAGTAGATTGTGCATTATTTTTTTTAACTTTTCTTAGAGTGCAGCATACTAACTAACTACTAATAAACCGCTTTAAAGTATGAAACTTAAATTGTAATCGTTCAAAAATGTGTACGTTTTAATACATTTACATCACCATGTAATTTAGCAACTTTTAGCAACAAATCAACCTTCCTTTAGCAACTGCCCCTGAAAATTAGTTGGCAACACTGGTTGGGTGCCTGGGCATGCTGGGGTGATAGGGAGGGAATGAGCAGGCAGATTATATAGCGAAGGAGAGTTTAGGAAGAGAAATAGATATCTATGTATCCTTGGGGAGGGTGGAACTGAGGGAAAGAGTTAAAGAGGGCTTAATAAAAGAATGACAGAGAGGACGGGAAAAGGAAATCAAGGGTAGGCATTATTTTTCTATTCAGCCTAAAGTTTTTGTACTTGTCCATCCCGTAGGGGTGGGGCACTGTGGGTTACATTGCTTTTTGTATATTGTAGGAAAGCATATTTCTGGATTATGTGAATGTGGGAATATGGAAACAGTAGGGCATGTTTTCTTGGAATGTAGGAAGTATAATGGAGAAAGAAAAGCACTTTTTGATAAATTGGCAGAATTTGGAGTTAAAGTGTTTTCTGTTACTACTTTGTTTGGACACAGTGATAAACATAAACTGATCTCTGAGGTAGTTCTTCAGTTCTTGCATAATACAGGACTGTATATAAGAATTTAGTTCAAACTTTGACCTGTGGATGGCAGTAATACGCCCAGTAGCGTCTACACTGCCGGAAAGATATAAGAAGAAGAAGAAGAGGCGCGAAGAAGAAGGTTGAACTGCGCGCGCGCTGCAGAGATGGCAGAGAGCGGAGGTAAAACACGATCCGGTTTTTCAAACCTTTTTGAATGTTAGAATAACTCACAAAACATAAACAACACAAAAAGAGCGGAAAATGCTTAACTTCATATATAACTCTAGAATGTTAGAAAATATTTAGTCAGTTTTACATGTAGATAAATGTTATTGTCATATTTTCATGCGGCTAGTTCTTTAATGTTTTGAGAAACAGCCGTCATTTTGCTCTTAGAAACCACACGACTAAAAAGCAAGCCAATATAAAAACATTATATTATATACGTGTATGTATAAAATAATAGATGTTTTCTTGGTCAGCAAATCAGCATACTGCAATGATTTCTGCTGAAAATTCAGCTTTGCCATTTCAGTTTGTAAAAATATTTCACAGTATTTCTGTTTTTACTGTATTTTGATCATAGAAAAGGAGCATACGAAGTCAGCATAAGAGATTTCTTTTAAAAACATGAAACCTTTGAATTACTCCACATTTTTTGGACTTCTAGTGTATGGATATGTGAATATATTTGTGGCTTAATTTGTCTCTCTTATGACTCCAGTTTCAGTGGGATCTGAATCCCTCCAGCTGTATGAAGCACAGTTCTTCGGCTTCACCCCAGAGACCTGCACTGTACGAGTTCACGATGCATTTCGAGATTCCCTCAATCACATATTGGTCGCTGTTGAATCTGTGTTCGTGAAAAGATTGTGTCCAGGCCATGATCCGCCAGCAGAGCTCCGACTGACAGCCCGAGAGAGCACCCAAAAACTGCGGCAGTTCTTACAGGAGCGCTTTGAAATCATGTTTCAGCGCATGAAGGGGATGCTGATGGACCGCGTCCTGTCCATCCCTCACAACGTCCTGCTGCCCGATGACCAGCTGCACCAGAAGTACCCAGAAGGCAAAGAAGACCTCATGAAGCTGCAGGAATCCATTGCCAATCTGCTGCAGGCTTATGAAGCCGAGGTGTGCGCCAAGCAAGCGCTTCTCGCTGAGCTTGAGGAGCAGAAAGAAACTCAGAAACAACTGGATGAAGTGCTGAGATGGATCGAGGAACTGCGAATTTCATGGAGGCGAGAGGGAATGGGAAATGTCCAAGACAGCATTCGACACATGATGGAGGCTGTCGGCCAATTGCAGGATGTTGTAGGAAAGAATAATAATAATTGAATACTGTTATTTTTCATTTATGAGACACTTTGTTAGTAGCTTGTACCTGTGATTGTTGATGAGTTAGTACACTGTAAGAAAAATATGCAGAAAAATGGAAAAGGTGCTAGTAATTTTCCAGGACATTATCCGTTATCCGTTGTAACCCGAAAACACAAAATACAATGCGTAATTAAAAATGCACGTACAAAAACCTGTGGAAAAATCAATCCAGAAAACTCCTTCATATTAACACAGTAGAATTTTTTTTATTTTTTTTAACTTTTCTTAGAGTGCAGCATACTAACTAACTACTAATAAACCGCTTTAACTTAAATTGTATAAATTGTAATCGTTCAAAAATGTGTACGTTTTCGATAATTCAATGAATTTAAAAATAGTTATTTATATTTTAATATTATATTATGCATTTATATTGCTACGAACAAATCTAAATTAACATATATAAAATATATAT